AGTTTCCAAACTGCCAATCTTTAAGGAAATTTTCTCTTTATTCGAGCACAGCAATCTGATCCTGACTCTTTCGCGGTCAGTACTGACCTTTGCTCCCCCCAATCCCTCCCTTTCCGATCCCCAATTCTCTGCTTCTCATTGGTTATCTTCCAAGTCAGTTTCCTGATTCCTTCTTCGTCAGATCACAGGAATGTCTCCCCCCTCTCCCATCTCCGAGGAGACAGATCTTCAAAGGGATTTAACAGGCAAAAGTTCAGGCTTCTCCTCCCTTTATTATATGTCAGTGTTGGGACACTGACAGGAGCGCTGGTTTGAAAGAGGGGTCAAAGAGGTCATTTACATTAAGATCGAACAGCCCTCTCTCAACAGAAGGTGGAAGGATACGACATAATTTATCTCCAGTCTACAACACAGTCCTTTCAGCAGTTTCCAAGAAGGCTCCACATCCATTTGTGTTATTCAGGTGGCCACAGGGCACAGATAAGCCTCCAAGTGGCCTCAATGACTCTCAGAGAGAGTACTAATAACCAGAGGACTGCAGGGAATATATAACCTTCCATCCTCCACCAATTCACTCCGAACTGCAGAAGCTTCTTGGAGGGAGAAGCAAAATGTCTTCAGGGAAAAACAAAGTCCAGTTGGCTTTTAAAAAGGCACTTTTGGGGCAACCATGATCTGGATGACTGACAATCTCCAGAGACTGCTTTTTGATCGTGCATTTGCTTCCCTGCAGTCATCTGGAACTTCATTGCGTTGTCCTTAACTCTTATTTAAGAGAATTAACTTTCTTCTTTCCATCATAAATCAGTGGTTGGGTTAATACATTGTGTAAAAATCCCTAGACTGTTTTGGAATCTTTCCACTGTGATGATTGAAATCTAGAGCTATTATCATGAGGAAGACCAGCCAAATGTGGCTTATTTTATTTATCGGACAGCCGGTTTGGTCTAATATTTAAGGCCCCAGGTTAGAAACAGGAAGATTGTGAGTTCTAATCCTGCCTTTCTTAGGACGGGTGACTTTCAGCCAATCAGCAGGAGATGGTGAATTCTAATCTCGCCTTAGGCATGAAAGCAAACTTGGTGACTATGGGTGAGTCACCGGGAGACTGTGATTTCTAGTACTGCATGAATGGCAGTTGGGCAAATTTGTGACAGTCAATCTCTCAGCCAAACCCATTTCACAGGATAGTCGTAGGAAAAAATAAGGGGAGGAAGGCGAAGGAGGTGTGTCCACCGCCATGAGATGTTTATAAAAAAATAATAAAGGCTGGATATAAACAAATAAAGTAAATTATCCAAATTTTGAGGCTGCCCGACTCCGTGTTAGTTCAGGGCAGCTTATAAATTGAAAGCTTACAAATTAAAAAAAAAAAGCTTACAAATTACTGGCTGACTGGAAGCTCGGCCCACCTAGCCATAAGGCTAATCTAACTAAAGGGGATCTTGTAAACCACCCTTTGTCCCAAGGCCTGTTTCAAAACTATGGCTAAATAAAGCAGCGGTACAGTTTTGCTAGCTTACTGAATTTTTTAACCATGATTTGCTGAATACTTGTAAGCCACAGAGGTTAGAGTTGTACAAGCCATGAAGCTAAAAGCCTCCATTTACATAGAGGACCAAAATGGTACCTGTTCATCTAATACGCAAAGCTAAAGACTGTGAATGAGATGGGTGGTTTTTCTATATGCAATATATATAAATATAAATAAATAAAGTTAAAAACCAACCCAAATAAGCTTATAGCGAAGTGGCACACTTCTGCAGTACATCTGCAATTCTAAGCAGAGTTGTTGGTTGGTTGTTTTTTGTTTTTTTAAAAAAGATCTCACTGCCTTCCTTGGGAGTTAAAAGAAAATAAGGATTGAGTCACACGCATATTTACCTCATTCCATTACTCAGAGTCTGGTGATTTGCAGGTGACTGTATGGATTATTCTTTTTAAAACTTTTCTTATTTTATTTACATACGGTGTAGCTCAGCATTTTTCTCCATGTGCCAGTTTTGCATAGTGATGAAGATACTGGCCTAGAAACCAGGAGACGGTGAGTTCTAGCGCCACCTTAGGCATCACAGCCGGTTGGGTGACTTTGGACCAATTACCAGGAATTTATGAGTTCTAGTCGGGCTGCAGGCACGAAAGCCGTCTGGGTAACTTTGGATCAATCGACAGGAGATGGTGAGTTCCAGTCCTGCCTTAGGCATGAAAGCTGGCTGGATGACTTTGGGCCAATTACCAGGAGTTTGTGAGTTCTAGTCCCGTCATAGGCACGAAAGCTATCTGGGTGTCTTTAGGCCAGTCACCAGGAACTGGTGAGTTGTAGTCCTGCCTTAGGCACTGTTGGAAGAAATGTCCATCTGGATTCAGTTCCAAGTGGGGAGAAAGACACTGGAAACATGGTGACTGCTTGAAAAGATGGTTTAATGGTGGACAGGACCACATGGTTTTGAGGTCCTGGGCAAAAAGAGCACATGGGTGAGAGAGAGAGAGAGATTTATACCCTCTGTTGGGTCTTTGAATTTGAGCTTGTATTCTGGTTGGTTGTCAGACTCCCATGGAGCCATGCAGGGGTAACTTTGTAGGTTGTCTTTTGAGTCCCAAGCTTGGTTGAATCTTGCTGGGTGATGTAATCACCACATGGCACCCAGGTGCCATGTGGTGAGTTCTGTTGCTAGATGGGTAGAGGGCTAATCCAGAGGTGAGTTTCAGCAGGTTCTGACCAGTTCTGGAGAACCGGTAGTGGAAATTTTGAGTAGTTCGGAGAACCGGTAGTAAAAATTCTGACTGGCCCCACTCCCATCTATTCTCTGCCTCCCGAGTCCCAGCTGATCGGGAGGAAATGAGGATTTTGCAGTAACCTTCCCCTGGAGTGGGGTGGGAATGGACATTTTACAGTATCCTTCCCCTGCCACGCCCACCAAGCCATGCCATGCCCACCAAGCCACACCCACAGAACCGATAGTAAAAAATTTTGAAACCCACCAGTGAGCTAATCCTATCCTTTGTTGGATCTTGGGTGAGGGCATTTGCTTATGAATAGACCTAGCTATCTCTTTATCTCTTAAGTGCTGTCATCTGCTGTGGGCTATTGAGAGTGTGGAGGTTATTGAGAGTGAATCTGATTCCTGCCAAAAAAAACCATGTTTCTCCATTTCTCATCCAAGGAAGTATAATATTCTGCCTTTTTAATATTTCCTAGAATATTTCATTCTCCTAGGAGAGGGTTGGGGGCTACAGCACGAAAGCCAGCTGGGTGACTTTGGGCCAATTACCAGGAGTTTATGAATTCTAGTTCCACCAGAGGCATGAAAGCCGTCTGGGTGATTTTGGGCCAATCGTTCTCTCTCAGCGTAACCCACCTGTCAGAATTGTTCTTCTAAGGAAAACAGGAGAAAGGAGGGATATTAGATATGTTCACTGGCTTTGTGTTATTTATAAAAAAATAAAAATAAAGGTGGGATAAAAATCAAATGAATTAATAATAAATAAATGGGAACCTAAGCAAAGCAATGCAAGACATTCTTCAAAGCAGGGCAGACCTTTTGCTACCATGTTTCCCCGAAAATAAGACCGGGTCTTATATTAATTTTTGCTACAAAAGACACATTAGGGCCTATTTTCTGGTTAGGTCTTATTTTGGAGGAAATACGGTACTAAATGCATCCATCTGGCTGACAATCTTAACCGGGGCTTATTTTGGGGGTAAGGCTTATATTACGAGCATCCTGAAAAATCATGCTAGGACTGATTTTCCGGTTGGGTCTTATTTTCGGGGAAACAGGGTACTTTCATCAGCTAAACTGCAGAATGGATGAATCTTTTTTTTTAAGTGGATTTTTTTAAAACAAACAATTCATCGTTAATCAATCATTGTAACATCTGGGTACAATTTTTTTTGTGTCATATTCAATATTTATCATCATTTTCTTAGTACATATTTATCTTTCGTCTTACATTTAAATTTAATGTATTACAACATATTTTCCCCATGTTTCTTATTTTTTCTTATTTTTTCTTATTTTTACATTGTCTATTGTCTATCCATTGATAAAATTGCCCCCATATGTTGTAATACTCCGATTCTTCCTTCCCTTTAATTGCTAATGTTAATCTACTCATTTCTGCACATTCTTATATTTTCTTAATTAGCTCTCCCTTTGTAGGAATTTTTTCTGCTTTCCAATTTTGTGCAAATACCATTCTTGCTGCCGTTATTACATGTATAACCAAATATGTATTTTCTTTACTAAATTTCTCCAGTAAGATACCCAAAAGGAACAGGCTCCAGTTTAAGATCAATGTGTTGCTGTATCATTTTCTCTAACCAGATTTGAATTTTTGCCGAATAATTTCTCACTTCTGGACATGTCCACCACATGTGATAGTACAATCCCGATGTCTGGTGGCATTTCCAACATTTAGTTGATTTATCTTTGAACATTTTTGCCAATCTTTCCGGTGACATGTGCCATCCATAAAACATTTTATACAAATTCTCTTTATATGCTGTGGATGGATGAATGGATGAGTCTCGAGGGAATCAGGGAACCTAATCAGAATAATAGACTCTAATAGACAGTGGAACCAGCTTGCCTGTGCTTTCCTTTCCTGCAATGGTGGTTTTGTTCCTATAAGCACAAGGCAGTATTTGTGGTTTCCCTGCTTGATGGATGGACCCTTCGCATGCTCAGAGCAGCATGGGCTCCTTCTGTTTGCGACAGAAAAATGAACATTTGTTTTCCTCATCCATTCATTCATTCATCAATTGCAACTCAGTTAGGCCCAGTCTGGACTAGCAGACAAGATGCAGCTGTCAGGAAAAATGTGACTTGTATCCCACTTGAAATTGCAATGATTGATATGGGTCTTCCGCAGTTGCTCTTCCATGGGTTTGTTCCCTCCTCGACCTAGCGAGGGGAATTGTGGGTATTGTAGTGCCAAGATCTCTAGAAAGGACCAGTTTGAGGTTCTGCAGGTTGCAACGCAGGTGGGCCACTTACCTCCATACTGGTAGATGGTATTTGGATGCGGCTGGGTGTGGAAACAGGAACAGATCAGCGAAAGCAGAGACAGTTCCTTCATTTTCTCTTTGTAAGCTGGAAAAAAGCAGAATAAAAATGAAAGTTGGGCGTGGTTTAATGTGGTTTTCCATAATCTAATGCTCTCCATGGATGGCTGGGCCTATAAATCCCATCTAGTGTGACCAGGGGTGGGATTGAAGCCAGTCCTTGCAATTATCGGTTCGGCGAACCAGATGTAAAATTAGCATCCGATTTGCCCGAACCGGTCCTAACCAGCTGAATCCCACCTCTGAGCGTGGCTTCTTCTACCATATTTCATTGGGCACATAAATATACTTTGATGCTACAGGATATGGGATGGTCGAAGGTGAATTTTAGGATGGGGGACCTAGAATCACCCCCTCAAATTGACTTTGAAACGTTTATTGCAGAGGTGGGTTTCAGCAGGTTCTGACCAGTTCTGGAGAACCGGTAGCGGAAATTTTGAGTAGTTTGGAGAACCAGTAGTAAAAAATTCTGACTGGCCCCGCCCCCATCTATCCTCTGCCTCCCGAGTCCCAGCTGATCGGGAAGAAATGGGGATTTTGCAGTAACCTTCCCCTGGATTGGGGAGGGAATGGAGATTTTACAGTATCCTTTCCCCGGAGTGGGGTGGGAATGGAGATTTTACAGTATCCTTCCCCTGCCATGCCCACCAAGCCATGCCACGCCCACCAGGCCACACCCACAGAACCGGTAGTAAAAAAATTTGAAACCCAACATTAGTTTATTGATTTATTTATGCAATTGATAGGACCGCCCAAGTCACAACTTGGGACTCTGGGTAGCTAAAGTAGGATTGAGAAACAGAGATAAACAATAAACATCAAACCTCAACCATGCAATATGTAACAGTGCAAACTGAGGTCCCCGAAACCAGATCTTCAGAATTCTAACCCGTTCTTGAGAAATGCTCATCCAGCATCCTAACCGACTGCTTCGGGGGGGGGGTGAAAAAACAAGGAGTTTTTGAAACTATCCAAAGACTCGGGCATGCATGGTTAACACAGACCACGGGCTACCTGGGTCCCATGCATTTGTCTGAAATGGTGTAGGGTTTCCTGCCTAAAAGCAGGGGGTTGGACTAGAAGACCTCCAAGGTCCCTTCCAACTCTGTTATTCTATTCTATTCTATTCTATTCTATTCTATTCTATTCTATTCTATTCTATTCTATTCTATTCTATTCTATTCTATTCTATTCTATGGATCGTATTCTTACAAGCCGTATTCATAAGCACTTCCAGTGTCTTTTAAATCAATGGCTGTTTCTTGAGACTTAATGCAGGTAGTCCTTGACTTATACCCACAATCGAGCCCAATATTTCCGTTGCTAAGCCAAGAGGTTGCTGTCAGATGTTTTGCCCCATTTTATGACCTATTTTGCCACAGATATCAAGTGAATTACTGCAGTTGTTAAGTGAATCCTGCCGTCATTAAGTGAATCTGGCTATTACGGAGAAACTTCCCAACAGTGAGGACAATTAAACCAGTGGAACAAATGGCCTCCAGAAGTTGTCGGTGCTCCATCACTGGAAATTTTTAAGAAGATGTTGGATAACCCTTTGTCTGAAGTGGTGTAGGGTTTCCTGCTTGAGCAGGGGGTTGGACTAGAAGACCTCCAAGGTCCCTTCCGACTCTATTCTGATGGATTGATCGATTTTATTGGTCAGAAGCTGGCTGAGAAAGTTGCAAATGGTGATCCCATGACCCCGGGAGAGTCAAATTGTCATAAATACATGCTAGTTGGCAAGCTCCCGAATTTTGATCACGTGACCACGGGGATGCTGCCACGGTTGTAAGTGTGAAAACTGGTCATGTCACTTTTTTCAGTTCCACTGTAACTTTGAACTGTCATTAAAAGAATGGTTATGAGTTGAGGACTACTATATACTATAACTATATAGTATATATAGTTATAGTATATAGTATATATAGTATATATACTGTGTTTTTCTTCTAGCCAGGTTTTCCCTACATAACCAAGGTTTTTCTGCAGCACCAGCTCAGTAGAATCACATCCACTCGATTCTGGGCTTTTTTCTTTTCTAACAGCTAGCAAGCTCTTCCTGCTAGGTGGGAGACCTATATAGATCTATTTCTAGCTTGTTTGCTTTCATCAGTAGGCGACACCCATATTTTATGTATCCTCCCTGTAAAGGTACAGTATCAATATATATACAGTACAGTATATATATATATATATATATATATATATATATACTATATATATAGTATATATAGTATATACTATATACTACTGCAATGCTCTCTACATGGGGCTCCCCTTGAGGAGCACCCGGAGGCTCCAGCTGGTCCAGAATGCGGCCACGCAGGTGGTTATGGAAGCGACGGGGCACTCCCATGTGACACCTCTCCTGTGCGAGCTGCACTGGCTCCCGGTGGTCTTCCGGGTGTGCTTCAAGGTTTTGGTTACCACCTTTAGAGCGCTCCATGGCTTAGGACCGGGGTATTTACGAGACCGCCTTCTGCCACCAGTAGCCTCTCACCGACCAGTACGCTCCCATAGAGAGGGGCTCCTCAGGGTGCCGTCGGCCGAACAATGTCGACTGGTGGCCCCCAGGGGGAGAGCCTTCTCTGTGGGGGCACCCGCCATCTGGAACGAGCTCCCCCCGGAGATACGGAGGATCCCGGATCTGCGCGCTTTCCGCCGTGCCATCAAAACATTTCTTTTCCAGTAGGCCGGCCTGGCCTAACCTCTCTTTTAAACTTTCTTAAAATTTTAAAATTCTTCAATTTTAAATTTGTCTTATGAATTTGGGGTGTTTTAAATTTTGTTTTCCGGGCCAATTATTTAATTGTATTTTAATGATTTTTTAACATTTATATTATATGTATTTTATTTGGCTGTTCACCGCCCTGAGTCCTTCGGGAGTAGGGCAGTATACAAATTCAATAAATAATAATAATAATAATAATAATAATAATAATAATAATAATAATAACCCCGTGATGGCAAACCTATGGTGCGCGTGCCAGAGGTGGCAAACAGAGCCCTATGTGGGCACGCGCGCCCTCGCCATCTCTTCTGGTTTCCAGAAGAATCAGTGATGGTGAACCTTTTCAGCACTGAGTGCCCAAACCGTAATGTGTGCGTGCCGGAGCACCGGAAACCCAAAGACCAGGGATATGTGTGTGCCGGCCAGCAACTTTCCGGTGCTCCATCGCATGCGGGTTCCGGTTTGGGCACTCGGTGCCAAAAAGGTTTGCCATCACTGCTAAAACCTAAGTACCTTTAACTATCAAACAACAACTTCTGCTTATCTCAGGTCCTTGGGAAGGACTTGATAGGAGGATAAAAATGCCAAATCCAGTATAAATATCTGTGCTGACTGTGTGATCAATCATAAAACAATGATTAAAAGTCATAAAATAGGTCGTAACAATGATGGATTTAAATAAGACCACCCTTGGAATATTGCATCCAGTTTTGGTCATCACACTATAAAAAAGATGTTGAGACTCTAGAAAATTTTATGATGTTTGTGTGTCTATATTTTTCTTGACTGTACACCGCCTTGAGCCCTACGGGAGAAAGGCGGTATAGAAATATAATAAATAAATAAATAAATAAATAAATAAATAAATAAATAAATAAATAAATAAATAGTGCAGAGAAGAGCAAACAGGATGATGAGGGGACTGGAGGCTAAAACATACGATGACCGGTTGCAGGAACTGGGCCTGGCTGGTCTAGTGAAGAGAAGGACCAGGGGAGACAGGAGAGCATCTTCCAATATTGGAGGGGCTGCCCCAGAGAGGAGGAAGGGGGTCAAGCTATTTTCCAAGGCACCCGAAGGCCAGACAAGGAATAATCACGGATGAAAACTGATCAAGGAGAGATTCAATCTGGAAATAAGGAGGAATTTTCTGACAGTGAGAACAATCAATCGATGGTACAGAAGTTGCCTTTGGAAATTGTGGGAGCTTCATCACTGGAGGCTTTCAAGAAGAGACTGGACTGCCATCTGTCAGAAATGGTGCAGGGTCTCCTGCTTGGGTGGGTGTGGGGGGGGTGGACTAGATGACCTACAAGGTCCCTTCCAACTGTGTTAATCAGTTAAAGTCTGTTAATAACTATACCACTGGCATAACAAAAAAATATCCTCGCATATGCAGGGTTCTGCAACTGCTCACACCTTAATCCTCAAAAACGCACCTGGAAAAATCCATACTACTGGAAATGGCCTGAACTTTCCATGCATTTTAAAAACGAGGACTATAAATCTTAACGTCTGCTGGGGAGGCGGCTCCAGGAGAGAATGTTCCATTCGCAAGAAGCAAGAAAATGTTTCTCAGATCGGGGACGCATAAATTACAGAACTAATAGCCCGAATGCGTGACCAGCATAATTAGGGTCGAGTGATGTTATCGCTGATCAAGGCGCGAAGATAAAATGGAGACAGAAATTTATGTCTCCGCGGTGGCCCTGCCACAAAACACTCGGGCTGCATCTCAGCGTAATTAACTTCGTTCTTGTCTGTTTGCCTCTGAAAAACTCACAGGGAAGGGACTTCATTAGTTAAGACGACGATCCAGCTTGCATGTACGAGAAATGTTTTGTAAGTCTGACCCGTTGCTTGGAAAGAGGAAACCTGGTCAGTATACACATCCTAGTCCCAGTGGACAACCATTTAAATATGAGCCAGCCTTGTGCTGCAGCTGCCAAAAAAGCCAACGCAGTTCTAGGCTGCATCAACAGAGGGATAAACTCAAGATCACGTGAAGTGCTGATACCCATTTTATAAGGCCTTGGTAAGGCCACACTTGGAATCCTGCATCCAGTTTTGGTTGCCACGATGTAAAAAAGATGTGGAGACTCTAGAAAGAGTGCAGAGAAGAGCAACAATGACGATTAGGGGGCTGAAGGCTGAAACATCTGAAGAACGGTTGCAGGAACTGGGTATGTTTAGTTTAATGAAGAGAAGGACTACTAGGGGAGACATGATAGCAGTCTTCCAATATCACAGGGGCTGCCCCAAAGAAGAGGGAGTCCAGCTATTCTCCAAAGCACCTG